CCCAGGCATCACAGTGCACCTCGGGCCCCAAGTTGGGAGCCCCCTTCCTCCTCTGTTTGCATCAGGTCTTGGGGAGGCCAGGGCCAGACAGATGGCAGAGGTACGGGGATCACGTCCAAGCTTAGTCAAGGGGGACAATTAAATAGCGCCCTTCGCTAAACACCCGTATGCTGGCAAAACGGGGCCGTATCTGTTGGCCAGAGTGGGCTGAGCACCCTGCTTGTAACCCAGGAGGCTGATGAAGACGTGCAGAAAACTCCTGAAAAAGCAGTGTGAGCTTGTGGGTGGGTGAGCAGGGCCCTTGAGTGCACTGGGGTGGGGTGAGGGACGTTCTGGCTGCCCCGCTCCCAGAGCCATGCCCCAGAGCCAAGGGCTGTCCTTCCAGCCTTGGGAGGGACCCTGGGAGGGACTCCAGGTCGGCTCCTGCTCTGCCTCAGCCATGCAGACACCTGCCTTGTGCCCAGCCCGTTTGCCTTTTCTGCTGGTCTTGTGTCTTTCCTGCTCTGGAAGTGCAAGACAGGTGGAAGAAGAGAGGAGGGTTCTGGGGAAGGACAGCATCCCCTGGGCAGGCAGCGGAGCCCCTCTGGAAATAATGGCCACTGCACGAGGTGGGGTGCAGAGGGGCACGAGACCCCAGATGACTAGGGTTGGAGGTGCCGTGCGGCCTTACAAGCCAGACCTTCCATTCCACAGAGCAAGCCCCTAGCAGATGAAGGAATGTGGAAGGCGAGGACAGTGAGCCCACTCCTGGGAGCTCCTTTACAGAGCGAGGCACTGGGGGTCGGGAGCCAAGTGCAGCCAAGAGGAACCTGAGGAGCTGAGCTCCACTCCAGTCCCGCAGCCACACCGTCTTCCTGCCACGCGCTGACCTGGAGGCTGCCCCCACCCATAAGCCTCTGTGCCTGGCGGGGACTTGGGCCTGCCAGCGTGCCTTGCCTCCCACATGCCCACAGCCCTGGGCTTTGTCTTCTCCCTCAGTGCCAGGTTTTGGAGCTCTGGGGCCCTAACCCCAAAATAGGGAATTGTGGTCACTCCATTCTAGCCCTCCCTCTCGCTGTGTCTGTAGGTCTGCTCTCCGCAAAGCAGGGCTCTGAGCTGGCAACACTGGGATGAGGCGGAGGGTGTGAATGAGACCGCAGCCTCCTCTCAGGTCCGGTAACAGAGGTGCTGCTTCCCGGAAACAACCAGGGCCTGCCTGTTCCTGCTGCCGGCTCTGCAGCCCCTGCCCAGGTCCCCGTGGGGGTTTAGGGAGCATGGGGCCAGTCTCTCCTCCAGGCTGGCTCAGGGACTGCCCAGCCCATACACTGGCCCCTGGGGGAGGGGCTGCAGCTAGCCGGGTCTGTCCACCCTCAGAGGCTGCTCCAGCAGCCTGCTGCTGTCTGTCCTCGCGCCCCTGGGGCTCTGAGAGGCAGAGTGTTTTTATAACTTGGGCTGGTTTAAGGCTGCCTGTCAGTGTGTCATGGAAAGAGCTTTCATTTGACCCTTAGGAAGTCCGGAAGCCAGCCAGGTACTGCGATCATTTTTCTCTCTTCCTAAGCGCAAGAAGGAAGAAGATAAATTTTATCTTGGGAAGAACCACAGCCGTTTGTGAGAAAATTTAATTTAGGCCCATTCCCCAGCGTGATGGGATGTCCTTGTGTTGTGCAGCAGGGAGACCAGTTGTCCGCCTGGTGCTTGTTCCCAGACTGCAGAGCCCCCGCCACCTCTCTGTGCGTCCCTGTGGCTAAGTCATGGGAAGGCAGGGCTTTCAGTGGCATTTGTTACAGGGCCAGCACACAGGGGCTCTGGCCCAGCATCTGGCCCTGAGGGGTTGGGTGGGGCTGGTGAGGTCCTAGGCAAGCCGAGGATGGAGGCCTTTGGGGCGCCCCCAGCCCTATGCTGCCACCCTGGGGCGTCCGCAGCTTGGCGGCCCATCTGGCATTTCCTGGGCTGGCAGGACCGCCAAAAAACCAGGTGCCTCCCGTGAGACTCTCACTTTGTATGAGGGTTCCCTCTGGAGAGCGGATCAGGGGCCTTCAAGCTCAAGAGGCAGATGGATTGTTCTTTAAGCCTGGGCTTCATGGCCTGAATTAATGCTTTTGTTTCTGCTTCCTCCCCCCATTCCAGTTTTGAACAAGAAAGCCTGCCCTGTGATTAGGCTAATCCTGCAGTAGTTATTATGCCTCCTCAGAAAATGTTTGCACACCAAAAAGCACAGAGAGTGGAGCTGCCGGGATCACACTGAAACTTGATGTTTTGTTTGTTTTAGAGACAGGGTCTCACTCTGTCTGCCAGGCTGGAGTGCAGCTCACTGCAGCCTCAAACTCCTAGGCTCAGGCGATCCTCCTTCCTCAGCCTCCTGAGTAGCTGGGACTGCAGGTGCATACCACCATGCTCCCGGAATTTTTTTTTGTTCTGTAGAGATGGGGACAAGCTATATTGCCCAGGCTGGTCTTGAACTCCTGGGCTCAAGCAGTCTGTCCACCCTGGCCTCCCAGAGTGCTGGGATTGTACACATGACCCACCACACCCAACCTTTGGGTCTTTTAATGTAGTGATAAGTTGAGTGGTTCCAGCCCCCTACCCCCAGGTCCTGTGAGCTGTCTGTCAAGTCCCTTGACTTCTGTGGCCAGCACCTCTAACCTCCTGTGTCCAGCCGTGGCTTGAGTTGGTCGCTGCACCACTTTCCTGTCTGTCCCCACCCCTGTTGGGCTGCGGGTGGCCTGCAGAGGCTGTCTGCAGGTGGCTGTCATTGGGCTCTCTCTATCCTTGTGATGTGGAGGCTTCGGTGTCTGTCTCATTTCGCTCGGGCATTTTCTTACGTTAGCTGGTCTGAGCGGAGTTCTCTGATTCAGTTCTCATATCCTGCATTCTTCAGAGCGTAAACATTTGTATAATTTGATCAGTGTGGGGAAGGGCACAGTGAAAACCAATGCTGTCAGTAGTCTTTGCTCATGACAACAAGAGGAGGCCCAAAGTGACCCTCCACATAGGCGATATGTGAGCTTTTGCTGAGATTTCAGCTGAACACATAGGGTCAAGGACGCCCACTCGGGATTGCGTCCACGGCGCTCACCTCCTCCCAGCCGTGCCCTCAGTTGCTGTTCAGAGCTGGCAGCTGAGGGATGGAGTCACCTGTGACTTTGAAGATGGCCCTCGAGGTGGGAGCTTCTGCTGTACCCCCAGCTGCCAGGACAGGAGGCCCGGGCACTGGGGGGTTCCAAGAGAGGGCCTAGAGAGTCGCCTTCCCCCTCATCCAGTCCTGGTGGGTCAGCATCGTGTAGGAGGTGGGGATGCACACATGGGCGGCAGAGACAGCAAACGTTTGTGGCGAAATCAGGAGGGCATGTTGCAGGATCCCTAGCAATGAGGTAGGAGGCCTGGAGAGCAGCCTGGTCCCCATCCTGCGGCTGGACATCCCATGGCGGGAGGAGAGTTGGCCTCAGGGCCAGGAAGGCCCTGACACGCAGGGAAGGAATGCATTGGCCTCACTCCCCTAGTGCCTGCACAGCGCAGCAGGAAGCATCTTGCCCACGCACGGCCACCTCTGGGAGCAGGGGGCGGGGGGCACCACAGGATGGGCTCTCACCCGGTTTCACCCTTGCATTTACAGCACGATATTCAAAGCAGTGGACTTTTGTTTATATTGGCAGTAACTCATGACTCCATATCTTAAAAGCTTGTACGTTTCACTGCATTTAACAAGTCCAAAAGAGTTCGGTTTTGTCATTTCGGAAGTCACCTCCGTGTAGAGATGTGTATGTGTGTTTGCATGTTTTGGAAGTGCGTGCACACCGTGGTACCTGTTTCTCAGGTGTTGCGGGCCCTGAGTGAGGCTGCGAATTCATCTCTGCAGTCCTGCTCGGCTGGGCGTCCCAGAGTCTCCCCTCGCTGTCCTCACATGCTGAGTGCCGTGTAACACCTTGCGCTCAGCCGGCCGCCAGAGCTCTGTCTGCTCACCCTAATCCTGACAGTGGCGCGGTTCTGTCCCCAGCTGCTGTGAGGAAGCTGCATGCCAGATCTTCCTGCAGGGCACCTGCAGAATGATTCCAAGGGATACGCTGCGTTTTGAAATGGAATTATATCATTAGTACCTGCTGGGATTAGCACTGACATTGGGCTTATCCATCTTTACATCACCTCCTCTTGTTCAAAGACTGAAGGGTGATGTGGGAGCCCACCCACGGGCAGCTGCCCCGCTGGGAGTTCTCGTTCTACGTTAGGTGCTGTGCCCGTTTGCATGTGTCTGCATGCATGTGTCTACGTGAGTGTGTGCGTACATGTATATGAATGAATATGTGTACCCATGTGAGAGTGTGCATGTGTATACATTTGTGTGTGCCCATGTGGGAGTATGTGCAGACACGTGTGCATGCAGGTGTGTGGCATGTGTGCACATACAAGTGTGTGTACGTGTGTGCATAACCCATGTGTTGAATAATGGGGGATTTTCACTGCAAGAGCAAATATTTCCAATGACTGCTGGATCTCAGCGTCCTGTGCTGCCTCCCCTGTCCCTGGGCTCCTTCGGTCCCTGCTCTGGGGAGCTGGCCTTCTGGTCCTGCACCTGGCTGTGGTAGGGCTGGATGTGCCTCTGGCCAAGACTTCCATGGCCTTGAGACTATTCTGATCAGACGATGTCTTCCCTTGCGGTCTGGTGGCCTCCCCGTCCTGCCAAGCCTGTCTGGGCTTCCACCTTGGCCCAGGAGGCCCTGCAGGAGAGAAAGAATGCCCTGCGCAGCTCTGGTGGATGTTTCTCCACATCTCCAGGCACCTTCCAGGGGACAGATACCACGTCATTGACACACATGCTCTTCACCGCCAGGCGATTTGCTCATTCACAACATGCTTGACAGTGTAGCCTTGGGAAGTGGGCTTTGCACCCTGGGGCAAGCTGTCTGAACGGCAGCCTCGGAGCTCACGAGCTGACAGAGGGCCTGGACGAAGGCTGCAGGGTTCTTCTCCACCGCACTTGGTCAATAAAGGCCTCACTTTACACGCTTTGTTCGTTTCTCTAACAGGTTGGTGGTCGGGGCCAGCTGTATCCTTTACCAGCATGCAGGTGGCCATCCTGGGAATGGGACACTCCTTCCCCTGAGTCCCCCCCTGCTGCCTGCCCTTCCGGCAGGCTCTTTGCTGCCTCAGATCAGACACTCACCGGGCCTCTCGGCGTGGAGGACCTGTGCTGGGGGACAGTTTGAAGCTGACCTCTGGCCAGGGATTCCTGGAGGCTCTTCCTGAGCCGGGCACTGAGACAGCTGGGACGGCTGGACATGGCCATGAGGCAGCTGGGCCATCTTCCCTCGAGAGCAGCCCCAGCCTGGACCCATTCCTTCAGAAGGGACAGTCAGGGAGGGTCAGGAGAGGAGCCATAGGAGGGCCTGGGGTCGAGGGGATGTCTGAGGGAGATGAAAGCTCCCGGCTGGGTGTTGTGACTCACACCTATAATCCCAGCACTTTGGGAGGCCACGGCAGGTGGATTACCTGAGGTCAGGAGTTTGAGACCAGCCTGGCCGACATGGTGAAACCCCTTCTTTACTAAAAATGAAAACATTAGCTGGGTATGGTGGTGCATGCCTGTAATCCCAGCTACTTGAGAGGCTGAGGCAAGAGAATCGCCTGAACCTGGTAGGCGGAGGTTGCAGTGAGCTGAGATTGTACCACTGCACTCCAGCCTGGGCAGCAGAGCGAGACTCTCTCTCAAAAAAAAGAGAGCCCCAAGCTGCTGGCTGAGAGCACAGGGGGAAGAAGGCAGCTGCCTGGCATCTCCCATGGCCAAGGTCCTCCCTGAGCTGGCTGCTGCTCTCCATCCCAGCTGGGATCCCCCGAGATGCAGGCCTTGCCCTGGAGGCTGAGATGGACCCAGCTGGGTCGGACACCCCATGGGCGCAGCGAGTCCGTGGGGGCTCCTTGCTAACTCCAGCCCGTGCCCTTGAGATGTGGAGGTGGGGTCTTGAGTTAGGAGCCCCTCTGGGGCCAGCCATGGATGGGTGTGGCGTGGGCTGTGGCACAGGGCCCCAGGGTGTTGTCCCATCGCTTCCAAAGTTGGGATCTGCGGTGTTCCTTAGCCGGCGCTGCAGACGTGGCCCTGGAGTGTGCTGGCTTCCTCACCGGGATCGGGCTGGACACCACCGTCATGATGCGAAGCATCCCCCTCCGCGGCTTCGACCAGGTAGTGCCAGTGGCCCCCGCTCCCACCCTGTGGCTCTGCGGCCCTTCCTCCCACAGGCCCCTCCCAGGCAGGTGCAGTGCAGCCGTGGGCCACAAGTGACGCCTGAATCTTTAGCGATAGCATTTGAGTTGGACGAGGAGGTTGTCCAGGAAATATGTAAACACTCGGCCGGAGCGAGGGCGGGGGTGGCGGTGGGACACAGTTGTGCGGAGGCCTCCGGCCGACGGCAGGGACCGGGAAGGGAGGCTCAGCCCAGCCTTGTGCCGCAGATTGGGTCACCCTCCAGATCGTCCCATTAGTGAGAGGTGGCTGTGTGCCGCAGAAGTGTTAGCCCACCTCAGAGACCCCCCAACTCCCTGCTCTCCCTTGGCTTCCCCTCTGGTGGCATGGGAGTGGAATAAGCTGTAATGTGTGAGCCGGGGTGAGGAGCACAGGGCAGCGCTGGCTCCGAGAGAGCCTGTGGGGCCGCGGCGTGGGGACAGGTGCTCTGTGTACAGCGGCCCCCGTCTGTGTCTGGGGTGCACTCGCTCGTGTGGCCAGCAGGACGAGCTCCTAGACTGGAGCAATAGAGATTTTCTTTTTTTTTTTTTTTGATGAAAAGCTCTTCAAGGAAAAGTCTCTTGTTAAAAGCGAAGTCTGGAGTTGTCATTGTGGAGACATTAAACACTCCATGGCTGCCACGAAGGAGGCCCCTTGCAGGGTGAGCTGTGCAGATCTGTAGGCCCTGCTCCAGGCCCTCACCGACCCTCAGCCCCCAGAGCCTGAGGCGGTCACCTGAGGTGGGAGGAGCCAGGCCTGTCATCTCCAGATTCCCAGCGCCACCCCCAGGCTAACTCGGAGACGTGTCCCTCCACCTGTGTGGCTGTGTGATTCTTCATCCTCAGGCTGTGTGTCCCTCCACCTGTGTGGCTGTGTGATTCTTCATCCTCAGGCTGTGTGTCCCTCCACCTGTGTGGCTGTGTGATTCTTCATCCTCAGGCTGTGGCACACACCCACTGTCCCTCACTGCAGACCCACTGAGCCCTGTGGTTGGGACATAGTGTCTGGGAAGGTCTTGGAGACTTTAGATGTGGGGAGGGTGAGCTGGCAGTAGACAGGGGAGGGAAGGGGCCTGCAGGATGGGGCGTGCCCAGGCAGGAAGGATGCACAGTCTGGGCATCCAGGCCGAGGGGCTGTGAGCCCTGTGTCCTGGACGGGCCCCATGGTTCCCCTCAGAGCCTGGGATGGCCAAGCCCGCCAGGCCTCGGAGGGGTACGGGAGGGGTGAACAGCATGTGCAACAGCCCTTCTGTAGTACAAACAGCCCTGCCCGGCAGGCCAGACTCCCACACACGCCATCTGGAGCCAGCTGGCATACCCGGACAGGTGTCAGAGGATGTCAGCAGTGACTGTTTATCTCCTCTTGAAACCAGAAGCCGTGGCCAACCTCAGTGCTGGCCTGTGCAAGGCTCCATTGTCCTGGGGAATGGGGCCCCAACTGCAGCTGGACTGGGGGTGCACAGGCCTTCTGGGCCAGGAGGGAGAAACGGGACCCTCTCTGTCCCCAGTCTGACCTGAACCTCCTATGCCTACATTTCTAGGTGGCAGTGGAGTTTCCTCCCTACCCTCCTGGCTCTTGGATGGCACAGGGGCAGGTTGGCCACATATGGAGGGGTGGACCAGGAGCAGGGGGCCATTTTCTTTTAGAGATAAGGTCTTGCTCTGTTGCCCAGGCTGGGGTGCAGTGGCGTGATCACGGTTCATTGCAAGCTCAAACTCCTGGGCTTGAGGGGTCCTCCCACCTCAGCCTCCCAAAGTATTGGGATGATAGGGGTGGTTGTATCTGGCTGATGAGGACTTAGTTAATTAGCGTCTAGAGAGGAGCCCACAGGCCAAGGGAGTCCTCACCACAGGGCCCAGGGTCTGAGGACTTGCAGCCAGAAGGGGCCAGACACTCCACCGAGAGCAAGAGGGTATGTCTTCTGCATAGACGCCTCTCAGCCCCTCCCTGAGGCAGGGCCAGGGCCAGGGCCAGGGCCTCTCCCTAGTCACCTGGTCTTCATGGCCCATCCTCTTGTGCTTTGCAGCAAATGTCCTCCTTGGTCACGGAGCACATGGCATCTCATGGCACCCGGTTCCTGAGGGGCTGCACCCCCTCCCAAGTCAGGAGGCTCCCAGACGGCCAGCTGCAGGTCACCTGGGAGGACCGCACCACTGGCAAGGAGGGCACGGGCACCTTCGACACCGTCCTGTGGGCCGTAGGTAAGGGTGCGTCAAGCCACACACTGTGTCTCTGCTCTCCTCGAGGCACGTGGAGAATCTTCGCCCCACTTCCTGTCGCCACCTCCCAGGGCTCCCTGAACCTGCTGGTCACCAGGTGGGTTGGCTGCTCCCCAGTGTACCTTGAAAGCCACCGTGAAGGCCTGTGGGGTGGCACCCACGCTGGGCTGTGCCCATCCTGCCGTCCCCAGCACCTCGAGTTTCTGCATGTCTCCCCAGCACCGTGGGACATGCTGGAAAAACCAGAGACGAGACAGACGGCGGCAGCCAGGTGTCCTCATCAGGGAGCGGCTGGGCAGTCCTCCTGGCCTGCCCTCGTCCTGGGTAGATTGCTTGTTAAGGTTTCAGCACATAAATCCTACACGTCGTCTTCCAGGTTTAAACCTTGGTATGCATTTTTTCTTTAGCATATTAAATGTTTTGCTGCTTCAGGCTTTCAAACTAGGTGCTTTTCTTTTGTTTTGTTTTCTTTTGAGACAGGGTGTCTCTCTTGCCCAGGCGGAGTGCAGTGGTGTGGTCACAGCTCACTGCAGCCTCGACCTCCCAGGCTCAATCCGTCTTCCCATCTCAGCCTTCCAAGTGCTGGGATTACAGCTTTGAGCTGCTGCGCCCAGCCAAGCTAGTTTGTTGTTTTTAACATAAAAATGATATAGATTTGAAAGCTTGAAGACTGACAGTAACATATATATAACATAAAATTCATCATCGTAAGCATTTTGAAGTATGTAGTTCAGGGGTGTTAAGTACATTCATGTTGTACAGCCAGCACGAACGCCCATCTCTAGAACGTCTCCATTAGCTCCAGACTGAGCTCTGTCTCCATTAAACCCTCTCTCCCCACTGCGCCTGGCACTCACCCTTCCACTGTCTGTCTCGATGGCTCTGACTCCTCCAGAGACTTCACATAGGTGCAGTTTGTCCTTTCGTGACTGGCTCATTTCTCTTAGCACAATGTTTTCAAGCCGAGCCCATGCCACAGCATCTGTTACTGGGTTACCGTTTGTGTTCCCGGTGCCAGCACTTCCTTCCTGTTGAAGGCCGAGCTCTTCGTGTGTCCATCATCTGTCAGTGGACACTTAGGTGGCTTCTGTCTTTGGCTGTTGTGGATCATGCTGCTGTGAACACGGGTGTGCACAAGCCGGCTGTTTTCAGCCCGTAAAAGTGATGCGGGCTTTTTAAAGTTCTGCCCAGTCTTCTTGTGGCTTTCAGTATTTCCCAGTGGGTCCCTTTGGGCCTAGCAGGTCATCACGTGCCAGGAGTGGTGTCTCAGGCTTTTCCAGAAGTCACATTTCAAAGGCTTCCAAAGACACCACCCGTCCAGCACTGCGCAGTGGCCTGGGCCTTTCCTGGCCCGGCGTGGGCTGGCTGCCACTGGCTAGGCACAGTCTGGTCTCACCTTCTTGCTCTCTGTCAGGTGAGGGTCCGATTTTGCGTGGGGCAGAGGCTGAGCTGGTGTGGGGAGTGTGGACGCAGATCTGGGCTGGGCTCTCTGAGGGGGCTGGGGACGGGGAGCTGGAACCGACAGGGATCAGCCAGACACCGCCTTATCCCAGGCCTGCTGCAAAGCTGGGCGCCCCAAGGAGAGCTGCAGGCCCTTGTCAGGGTGGGTGGCGGCACACATAGCGTGCCTGCCCAGGCATCCTACCTGCCTTAGTGCCTGGCCATCTAGTTTAGGTTCCTAGTTTTCCCACTGGCCCTGTCAACTTGCATGTTGAAGGCGGGAGCAACCTACTCAGTGTTGTTAGTTCTCCGAGGCCTTTCCATGCTCAGTCTGCTCTGTTGTTCCCTGCGAGAGCCCGAGATCAGAGCCAGGGTTCCTCTCAGATCACCTGGCTCCAGTGGGGCTGGCCAGTTGTTGGTGTCCCCTGGGGGAGGGCTCCCGGAGGCACAAGCTGCGTCACAGGGTGATGCACTTCTGAAGTAGTCACTCGGAATGGGAAATCAGAAAGGAAACCAGCCTGGAGCAGCCGAGCCTTCACTTCTGCACAGTGGGCACAAGCACGGAGCTGACGGCCGGGGAGGACCTCCAGCCTGGAGCAGCTGAGCCTTCACTTCCGCACAGTGGGCACAAGCGCGGAGCTGACGGCCGGGGAGGACCTCCAGCCTGGAGCAGCCGAGCCTTCACTTCCGCACAGTGGGCACAAGCGCGGGGCTGACGGCCGGGGAGGACCTCCACCCTGGAGCAGCCGAGCCTTCACTTCCGCACAGTGGTGGGCACAAGCGCGGAGCTGACGGCCGGGGAGGACCTCCAGCCTGGAGCAGCCGAGCCTTCACTTCTGCACAGTGGGCACAAGCGCGGGGCTGACGGCCGGGGAGGACCTGAAACACAGGGCTCTTGGCCCAGAGGTGATCAGTCAGCCAAAGTAATGCTCTCGGTCACGTTGTAAAAGTAGATTTTAAGTAAGTTTATTATGATAAACACTATGAAGGATTAGGTTACATTTTGGACCCCGAAGTGTACTGATGATTCTCATCATAAATTCTACTTTATTTTTCTTTCAAAATTTATCCTCTTAACTCTCATTCCCAAATAAACTGCACTCTGAAGGGGAGATGGTGAATCTCTCCCTCCCACTGGGCCCTAGCTCTCCTCCTCTGTCTGCTGACATCTCTGTTCACCCATGGCATAGGGTGCTCTTGCCGTGGAACACCCTTGGCTGAGCCCCTAGGGATGCGGCAGCCCAGCGGGCCAGGGCTGTGTCCCCAGAAAGCCCGGGTGTCGGCCTGGCAGGCAACAAGCAAGGCCCCTCCCTGGTTGGCAGGGCTGCTGTGGCCTGCACGCCCTTCTGCCCTTGCTAGGAGTCTGTTTTATTTTTTTGTATTTTCAAAATGAGCATCGCCCAGACAGTCTGCCTGGCGTGATTGATGCTGGGGGTGGAAGCTTTTCGCAGTCCTTGGCCTCTGACCCTGCTTCCCGAGGGCGGCCCGGCTTCTGCGCGCCTGCTGGGGGCCGCTCGGGCATGTGCTGACTTCGCTGCTGCTCAGAGCCAGGTTTTGTAAACATTCAGGAGCCGCTTCCCAGGTCAGCAAATGCAAGTGTTTTCTGCTGGTTTGTACGATAAGCCTTTAACCAAGCTGTATTTCTACTTGCAATAAAGGAAGATCCACTGGGAGGTTAAAATCAAGCGCCCTCGGGGCTGCACAGCTGGCAATGCCAGCATCTCCAACTCCGCTTCCTGTCCCGGTGTGGACCACGCGCGCACGATCTGGGCTGTGACAGGAAGGGAGGATGCCCCCCGTGCCCGGTGTGCACACACGCAGAAGGGGCTCAGGTGCTCACGGAGCTCCTGTGCGGGGCCGAGTGCTGGCCCTGCCCGCTGCCTGTGTTCCCGGCACCTGGCCGCAGCTGACGAGGACCATGGGCATAGGCATCGTGAAGTGGGCCCTGCCGTCGGGAAGCCGAGTCGGTCCTCGACGCAGCCTTGATCTCCACGTGGTGGATTAAACACATTAGCAGTTAAAGCAGTTAATTGCTGTGCAGGGGGCCCCTGCTCATTGTTTGTCTCTGAGTCACCCGCCCACACCAGGTGTCTCAGATAATAGACTGGGAACTTCAGCGAGGAGGATTTCCTGTCTGCAGATGTGCCGATTACAGCGCTGAGTGAAGACAGTCAGCCAGCACCGCTGCGGGCTCGAATTCGCCCGCCGAGTTAACCAGTTGTGGCCTGAATCCCTGGCTGTCTAGGGGAGCAGAGCCGGGCGGGGCCATCTGAGCAAACACCTCCCAGTGCAGAGGCTTTGCATTGCTAGTTGAGCTTAGATTTTGTTTTAAAGAGGGACAGACTGTCTCTGTACTGCAGCCTTGGGAAACTGGAAGCCGAGATTGTCATGCGTCCCTTTGGTGTTCCCAGTTCCTCTGGACAGTTCTCTGTCCCACTCTTGAGAGTAAGATGCGGAAGTCTCTGGTGCATCCCTCCCTGTACCACAGGAGTCCTGCCCATGGCCGGAAGAGCCAGCAGACACAGCAGGGGGCTGGCTGAGCCCGGGGATCTACAGCCAGGCAGCTGCTATGCCTGAGTGCCAGGGAGGGTGGCCCAGGTCTGCCTGGGGGCCCCATGGTGTGGCAGGTGAGGCGAGACCCAGGGAAGGAATCTGTCTGGGTCTTACCCCAGCCAGTGAAGCCATTTTCTCTTTGGGCTTTCTCTTAAATAACTCGGAGGTGTCCACCTGTGTGTAAACCAGCATCAGAGCCTGAAATACCACATGCATGGAGCGTGGGAGCCTGGCTTCCCAGCTTCCTCCTGGCACCACGCAGGGGCTGCCTGCACAAGCTGCCTGTGTATAGTCTGCCCCACGTGGCGTCTGGACCATGGCTGGAGAGGCTGGGGTGCCCAGGAGACTGTGACGGGGGCCGGCAGTGCCCAGCAGGGGGGCTGTTGCCAGAGTGGGCTGCAGGCCGGGACTGCCTCCTGGCGTGTACGTGGTGGGCAGTCATCTGTACTCAGTTGTGCTCAGATGGCGGCTGCCGCACACCACAGACACCACCACACGAGTCCCTGCAGAATGTCCCTCTGTTGTGTGCCAGGCAGCAAGAGAGGGGAGAAAGCAAAAACCAAGCCCCGAGTCTCGGGATGGGCGGCAGCATCCCAAGCCTGGTGACAGGGAGGGGGTGGCTCCTCCTGGATGCCCTTCATGCTGATATGGGTGTAATCGGGGCTTAGGGGCCGCAGTGGGTGTGGATGCTGCCTGGTGGCTCACACGTGTAATCCCAGCACTTTGGGAGGCCGAGGCAGGAGGATCACAAGGTCAGGAGTTCAAGATCAGACTGGCCAACATGGTGAAACCCTGTCTCTACTAAAAAATACAAAAATTAGCTGGGCATGGTGGCTCATGCCTGTAATCCCAGCTATTTGGGAGGCTGAGGTAGGAGAATTGCTTGAACAGGGGCCTGGAAGGCGGAGGTTGCAGTGAGCCGAGATCGCACCGCTGCGCTCCAGCCTGGGCTAAAAAACGAGAGTCCATCTCAAGAAAAAAAAAAAAAA